AAATGGGAGACATATTTGTCTTTCATATACTTTTATTTTTTATTTTTTTTTATGTTTGTTTGAAAATTTTAACACAAATTTGATCTCATTGATATAAAATTATGACTATATTGTCAAAAAAATAAAAATAAAAATAAAAATAAATAATATTTAGCTTAGTCCCATCCTCTTGCATTAAATAATCATTTTTTTTAACGTCGTGAATATATAAAATAGGGGATTTTTAATAATTGAAGTATTAAAAAGACAAAAATTGGTTCAATTAACTCAAATAATGAATGATTGTGTTCCCATTGAAAGGAATAATTATGGGTCCACTCTTTCACTTTATCTTTATAAATATTGGAATTTTGTAGTTTTAATTTATTGGAAGTATTTTAAATATTGGAAATCCAATCTTGTTCGGCCACACATATTGTCTGTACATGCATGTTCAATCATCTACGACTCAGTTCGACTTGTTTTTACACTAGACCAAGTTATTCGACTCGATCTTGTCTCTACTTAGAACTAAAGTCTCTCACATGCAATGTCGCATCTCATCATGTCATCTCGGTTCTCAATCAACATGACCCATATATCTTGATGTCATCCTAAGTATTGGGATGCCCATCGAAAACGGGCTCATGTGTCGTTCATAACATAAGAACATCCCAAATATCTATCAATTTGGATTCTATCAAGGCATTGGACCTTTCGTTTTCTATGTCATATCATTTACGGAATTCGTACTGAATAACGAGTGCATATAAGAACCTCCGACACATGGGTTGGGGTGTCATGCTAGCGCACCTGTGGCATCTAACAGTGTCCTTGAAAGACCCATTTTAAAGGAAGTCACTCGGGACACTTGTCTTGCAATACTTGCCCTCATTATGACACATGCATGTGTCACAATGTAGCTGGCTTAGGCCATAGGGTCCAAGGTGATGGAGAGTTGACATCATGCGTCCCCCCAAGGTGCATTTGAACAAATATGAAAATTGTGCACTAGTTATGAGCTATCCCATTGACGGACCTTCCCTTGGTCTCCGAGATTCACAACATAAGCATGACAAAATAATGTCCAATGGTTGTGGGCTATTTTATCTGGGGCCTCCTCCCCCCTTCTCTCAGACTCCATCTAACACTCACCAGATAAACCATGACAAACTAACTACCTGCAGCATATCCTCGCCTAAGGTAGGGAGAGTGTGACCCAAGATGGCTACCTTGCCCTCAACACTCGTATTCTCTGAGTTGCACACAACAGTGCACCCCTCAGGGTGACACTCGTAAGCCAACCAAGACATTTGCTCATTGTGGTACCAACCCATCCGGTAAAAAAGTTTGAAAGCTTGTAACATAGCCCCACGTTGGCGCTGCACTTCAACCAACTTCTCAATTGGCCACCTTCACGTGACAATCACTGCCTTGACACTTCTTTGATCTTACTGCAACTTCACTTTCTATGCCCACGTTTAGTGTGATGCTCTCTTATCGAGCAGATGCTAGTCTTGACAACTCTTGTGAAACCATCCACCTTAGGCATGAGCGCGATGACTCAAAAAATACACAGGTGCTCGCTTCTTGGAGCACTCCCACGGGGTGAGCAACCCATTCGTTTGGGCCCTCCCCTATTGAACTCAGTTGCCTCTTTGCAGCAATGTCGTCCCCCCATAAAGACTTCCGTCGTACTCAATTTGGCACTTGGCCGATGTTTATATCACGGTTTCGGCTTCTATTCTTACGACCATTGACATTATTCATCTCATGCGAATAACTCCTTGGAAGACATTGACCTACTGTGCCATCTGATTCATCTCTTGCCCACATCGGAACCCCAAGCCCTTAGCAAATGAGTTTGGCTCTTAGTTTTGACCGGTAGAACTCCCCTTGTTGATGTGTCACATCCAACACTCTTGAGCTTGGGAGAGTCTTGGCTTCAATCCACAACTGTCTTTGATCTTGAAAAAACAGTTGTTCGGTCGATATTGATATTCTTGACGCATTTGTGATGTCTTCTTTCAACCCTAGAGTTCATTTCTTTGATTATCTTGTCTGACTAGACACACAAAGTGTGGCTCTGATATCAACTGTCATGGTTGTATATTTTCAATCGTGCAGTGTCATGATTTTGACACGCTCTTCACAAGTCTTAAGGAAAACTCAAACCCCATATACATTATCACCCATTTTTTTGATTTCGTATTCACCAATCGAACATAACTTGTTCGGAATCCAAGCTTGTTTGGCCACACACCCGGCTGTGCATATTTTTTCAATCATTTGCAACTCAATCCAACTTGCCTCTACACTAGGCCAAGTCATCTGACTCGACCTTGCCTCTACTTGGGGCCAAGGTCTCTCACATGCAATATCGAATTTCATCATGTCATCTCAACTTCTAATCAACATGGCGCACATGTCCTGAAACCATCCCAAGTCCTGAGATGTCATAAGCCATCACAGCTCCCTCGTTCATGCCCATCGAGAACGAGCCTATGTGTCATTCATACATCGGAACATCTTGAACATCCATCGATCTGGGTTCTATCGAGGCAACTGACCCTCCTGTGTCTATGCCATATCATTTACGGACTCTGTACCAGATAGTGGATGCATATACCAATCTCCGATACATGAGTTGGGGCGCAATGCCGGCACACCTGTGCCGTCAGACACTATCCTTAAAAGACCTATTTCAAAAGAAGTCATCCGAGACACTCATTGCGCAAAACTCCCCCTCACTGTGACACATGTTAGCTCATTTAGGCCACAAGGCCTAGAGATGGTGGAGAGTTTGGCAAACGGTTATACGGTGTCATGGAGCGTCCGTTCATTGTTCGTTTGACACCAAACTTGACGAGCTTTCATATTTTATATGGATGAACTTGACTCCAGAGCTGCATGCCTAAGTTTAAGGCTCAAGGCCCTACTTGGCCTTTTATCAAGTTTATCTTTGTCCCTCATGTCGACATCATTGCCTCCTTGATTATGCCTCAGTTTGGCTTTAATGTACATCTCTTTAGTGTGTTAGATATTGTATTTTCCTCCTCGGTCACATCAAGACACTCATCTACCTTGGCCGTTGTGTGATCGGATGGGCACCACTTGAGGGTCACAACCTACTTTCTTCCTAATATGGTTTTGACATTCTCCTTCACTTAAACTAGTCATCATCCCCCATAACTTTCTCAAGGACAAAATCACTCCGTGGATTGTGACACTAGGGACTAGACTAACCAAGTATTATGACCAAAGATCGATGACTTCAGACCAAGGTCCTTAGAACAGAAATCGTGTAAAGCCTTTGGTCAGGTTATGGAGTATAGTACCTTAGCATTCACCATGAACACAATTAAGAGCAAAGTAGGTTACTTACTAAGTTTCATACTCACTTTAGTTCTTACACGTTTTTTTTTTCAGGTGATAACTAGAAGCTTGTTGATGAAGAAAGTAGATTTGGAACAAGTGCAACGACGTCTCTAGTTTTTGTGTCGATTTTGTTAGTTGCTTTGAATTTCGTTTCCTATCGGATTTAAACTTAAAATAAATAAGTTAAAGAGAATTTAAAACATAAAGCAAAGTATGCACAACAACACCGGTAGAGCATCTATGCTTCAACGCAAGTCATTTCCTTCATTGTGCATGAACTTTTCTCAAACACATATGATTCATAGTGTGCAGACAGCTCTCTGTCGATGGGCTCTCGTTCTATCGAAGGTTCGTACGATTTCAGGATCGTGTAAATGATCAAAGACGCAATAAAATTAAGCATGTTTGACTCAATATCTGTCTATTTTACTTAATTTTATGATTCAGGATTATATACTAGTTTCTTCTCAAATAAACTTATGTTCTCCCTTATTCTAAGTCCGTGGATAAAAAGTGTAAAGTACAATAAATTCCTATATATCTATACAAAGTTCATTAAGGTCAATCCAGACCTAATCATGACCTTCAAATGAGTTTTTTTTTAATGTCCAAAATACCCTAGAAATTGATACTCTCGCCCTTTTCAAAATAGTCACCTTATTTTTTTAAAATGATTTTCAGGTAAAGGTAAGGTTGTGATGCGAGAGTGACGAATAGGGTTAAGAAACATGCTATAAGACGATTTCAATATTTTGTGTTATGAAACTCGTGGTATATGAAAACTAGAAAGGTTTTGAGTCGACTATACTCTTTTTGTTATATTGTTAGGAGTGTACATCGAACTCAAAAACTTGAAAAAAACTCAATCAACCCAACCTGAATAACCAGGGTTGAGCTTGGTTGGGTTAATTTTCTAGAACCAAACTAGTTCAAATTTCAAGTTCATTAGCCAAAGGTTTAGGTCAACTTACCGACCTGGTCCTATATATATATATATAAAACAAAGCATGCCCACACACACATGCATGCAACTCCTCGCCCTCATCAACAAGACACATCTCATCACCTCGCCTTTGCCCACGCTAACAGCCACACTCTTCGCCCTCGCCATCGTCGCCATATGCAAATAAGATACCCCTCATAGACGCAACTCCTTACCATCACTACTAGACGCAAACACACTTTGCAAATGCATCTCCTCTCCTCATCCGCAACCATAAACCTAACCTAACCCAAAAATAGAGGGTTGGTTGAGTTGGGTTGGGCCGGGCTAGGTTGTGAAACAAATTTTGAGTTATTTGGGTTTCCAATCCAACCAATCTAAAAATTCTCGACTCCTCAAATCAAGCCCGTGTATACTCCCTACATATTGATTAAAAAATTCTCGACTCAACCCAACTCAACTCCTATATTCTCCCTATATATTACTATACAGATATATTAACCTATAACAATACACATCAACATTAAATTTACTTGAACAACTTATTAAAAGTTAAATTAAAATTAGTATTAAATTTTTTTAAAAGTTAATAAATTAAATATATAATTTTTTTTTGTAGAGTTGGGTTAAGTTTAACAAAAAAAAAAAATATATATATATATAATTGGGCTAATTAGTGATATAACAGTTTCTTTCTTATTTCTACACAGGCCTCATTTTTTTTTTTTTTCTTGTTCCTGCAATATAATCGTAGCACCCAAATCCATCGTCATCAACCAGAAACCCCTACATCGGTTTTCTCTTCTTGAATCTTGATGTCCCTTCAATTCCGTTTATATTATGCTATTTCATTCCAGTCCAATCGAATCCAATCCTATTCGATATAATCAATCCTCTCCTACTCTTCACCAGATTTGCTTCAGGAGGACGGCGTTATTTCGATCCGCCGACGATCTGTTAGTATTTGTTTTTTTCTTCTAATTACCTATTGCGATTGTAATTCTTAGCTGCTATTCCATCTTGGCTTACTTTTTTCCTCCCGATCAGATTGGGTTGATTTCGGGTTGTGAGACAATGGAAGAATTGAGAAATGTAACTATGAGAGTTTGAAAGATGCCTGGGTTAACGCAAAAAAATGACCATTTAAATGGTGGGTCATCGGCTGTATACTCGCTCTCCGCCAATGGGTTTTGGTCCCAGCATGGCGACGATGTTAGCTACGTTCAGCTCCAGAAGGTATTCATTTCTTTCGTTGCCAGAAGATTTAATTCGAGTTTTCGTTTCATCATTTTTTTATAGGAATAATTGGCACTAGATTAGATCACTTTCCTGCTCTGTATTTTTTCCCGAATTATACTAAATATTACTCTGGATTTACTACTTCTGACGATGTAATCTAGGCAAGGAGTGTCTAGCATTTTAGATGTGCGAGTTAAACACTTCAGACCTTTCATCTTTTACTCAAAATACAGTTACCGAATTTTCGTATTTTTCCTCTACATGTTGCTCTCTGTGACCGGCAAATCTGCTTTGTAGGGAACTAAAGTATCACATTGTTTAATTATGACATTGTGTCGTTAGTTGGAATAAGTATGATCTAATTCCCGCATTACTTAGAACTTATGTCATGAACTGACCATTGACTGATAAAGATGTGTTTACTCTCAATGTAGTTTTGGAGTGAACTGCTGCCCCAAGCTAGGCAGAAACTCCTGAGAATTGACAAGCAAACTCTCTTTGAGCAAGCTCGTAAGAATATGTACTGCTCTCGATGTAATGGTTTGCTGCTTGAAGGATTTTTGCAGATTGTCATGTATGGGAAATCTTTACAACAAGGAAACACATGTGTGAATCATACTTGCAACAGATTAGGGGTTTCAAAAAGTCAAACTTGCGATGGGTCATTGGCAGTTAATGGGTTTCATGATGAAATTCAAGACCCATCTGTCCATCCTTGGGGTGGTTTGACCACAACGCGTGAGGGGTTGCTGACACTTTTGGGCTGCTATTTGTATTCAAAGTCTTTCCTGGGTCTCCAAAATGTAAGTGCTTATTTTTAGTTTTCTTAGCTGTTAAGCACTCCATATTAAGTCATTATTTAATGGTTAAGGTTTTCTTTGGAACAGGTATTTGACAGTGCACGAGCTAGGGAGCGAGAGCGTGAATTGCTTTATCCTGATGCTTGTGGTGGGGGAGGTCGAGGCTGGATAAGTCAAGGAACAGTGGGCTATGGCAGGGGACATGGTACAAGGGAAACATGCGCCCTGCACACTGCTAGGCTTTCTTGTGATACACTGGTGGATTTCTGGTCAGCATTAGGAGAAGAAACTCGACAATCTCTTCTAAGGATGAAAGAAGAAGATTTTATTGAGAGACTAATGTACAGGTCTCTAGCAAATGCTCATCCCTTGTTTCATGCATTGCATTTAAATAAATGGAAGGAAAATGTGATAGTTGAGGCTTGATGGAGATTTGAGAAGATAATGTGACCTTTAGAGATATGAAGTATCATGAACACATTTTGGAGTAAACTAACATAAACAAATAAAAGGTTGATTTCTTGGTAAGGATGAATCTGATTTTTGTCTGCATCTTTTTTAGTAATCTTTTATCTGCATTTTGAAGATTCAAGCTAGTCTAGAATTCTGCTGTCTAGATTTGTTGAATAGATATAATTTTCAGTTAGAGAACCTATAGCTCAAGTAAATTATATGGTTTACAAGCCAAGCAACATCCAGGTTGTGTATTGTGCTCTCATTGGTTAAAAACTCCTTGCAACCTAAGATATTAAAAATCTTAAGTTTTCTAACTATCAAGAATCGTAGATTTTATGCCAACCTAAACATAGTTCAACTGGTTAAGACATTAATACATTTTTCCTAAAGGTCACATGCTTGAATCTCCACCCCTTGATGACCTCAAAAGAAAATTGTAGAGTTAGATGCCAAGAGGGTAGACTTGGGAGATTCTTGGACATAAAAGAATAACATAGCTTCTAATATGCTCCTCGATGGACAGAAGAAAGGTCTTTATTTGAGCAAGGATATTGCTTGAGAGAATTAAAAGGTACGAATCCACAATAAGTTTGGATTTGGACTAAAAGCAATTGGATTCTTTTTTGCAAGTATTGAATGTTATAATTTGGAGGTTCGAGCAACCTACAAAGAATTGTACAAATTTGAGTACTTCTAACTTATAGCTGACTGTTTGTATTTTAACTTACCCATGGTTATGGAACCAAATCCATTAATATAGAACATTTGCATTTCACTGTGAAAAAGTGCTTTATTGTAGTGGAATAAGATGCTTTTGTACATTGATGTATATATTTAATTTATTTGGAGCTATTTGAGCGGAATCCACTTTTTGGAGAATTTGGATCAATCAATAACTTCTTGTTACTTATTGACCCTTATTTGAATACTAAGGCCATTCTAATTTGGGTCAATGTGGTGAAAGCTATTTTTTTGGGAATCATGGATGGAAAGAATCAAAGAATTTTCCGTGGCAAGAATCTTTCTTGGTTCGAAAGATTGATTATGCTCATCTCGAGAACTGTTGGAGTTCTTTATCAAAGATTTTTGTTGGTTTTTCGCTTAGGATATTTGCCTCGATTGGCATGCCTTTGTATATCCTTTTTAGGTTATTTTGCTTACTTGTTTGTTTCCTTTTATTCCTTTTTTATTTTATTTTATTTTATTTTATTTATTGTTTTCTTATTCACTCCTTAGCCTAGTGGAGTTTGTATCTTTGAGAATTAGTCTCTTTTCATTCCCTTAATGATTAGTTTCATTTCTTGTTAAGAAAAACAATAATAAAAATATTTCTAGTGGAACATCTTTCACAATCCCTAGGAGATAGTTCATTAGTAATAATTGTTGTATGGTTCACTGAGCATGTCTTAAACTAGTTATTTCTTCAAGTGATGAGGATAAGAATCTCGTAGGGGTTTTGTATAGAAAGGGGAGAACATTCCTAACTCATTTGCAGTTTGTTGATAATACATTTTTTTTTAGGTGAGGATGATCGAAGTGTGATTGACAATCTCTTTAAAAGTGGTTAAGACTTTTGAGATGGCATTAGGATTGAAGGTGAATCTAGAATAAAGAACCATGGGTTATGTAATTAATATGGGCTAGTGACTGGAGTGAAGTCGTAACAAGGTAGCCGTACTGGAAGGTGCGGCTGGATCACCTCCTTTTCAGGGAGAGCTAATGCTTGTTGGGTATTTTGGTTTGACCCTGCTTCACACCCAAAAAGAAGCAAGCTACGTCTGAGTTAAACTTGAAGATGGAAGTCTTCTTTCGTTTCTCGACGGTGAAGTAAGACTAAGCTCATGAGCTTATTATCCTAGGTCGGAAGAAGTTTAGAATTCCTATCTTTGATCATAAAAGCTAAGTGAAGTTGTTGAATGATTTCTTGTTGGGGAGGGGGGTGAGGAGGGTGGAAGTCTCGATTTGATTGGTTGGGAGGTAATGCCAAGGCCGGTTGACCTTGGAGGGCTGGGCATAGGCAATATGGGATTTTATAATGAGAGGCTTTTTGACTAAATGGTTGTGATGTTTATCTTTGGAGTTGAACGCTTTATTTTATAAGGTCATAGCTAGTTAGTATAGTCCTCATCTTTTTGAATGGAACTCAGTTGGGGATTTTAAAGACGTTCAAAAACCCCTAGAAAGTTCTCTCTTTAGATGGTCCCTTCTGTAAATTTGTTAAAATGCTTTGTGGGGGACAACTTAAAAACTTATTTCTAGGAAAGCTCAATGGGGGATACTACCTCTACATCCCCTCTTTGAGGATTTGTCTTGTGGCATCAATCATTTCACTTTGAAAATTCTTATGCGTATAATTAAAGTTTTTGCTGCTGTCGTTAGATAGGGAGGTGTGGGATGTGTTTGCATTCCTCTCTCTGTTGGAAAACTTCGTCTTACCTTGGGTAGTAGTGATATTGGTGTTTGGCTTCCCAATCCCTTTAAAGAGTTTCTTGTCGTTCATTTCTTACCCTTCTAGAAACCACCATGCACAATTTTTTTTCTTTTTATTTTCCTCGGTGTGGAAGCTATTCATTTCCAAAAAGGTTAAACTTTTTGCCTCGCAGGTCTTACATGGGAGAATCAACACTATGGATCGTATTCAGTGGTTTTTCTTTTTTCCTTCATTAGGGTTACAGTGGTACACTCTATGTAGCAAGGCATATGAAGATTTATGCCATATCCTTTAAAGATGCATGTTTCTCTCATGGTTTAGGACTCCTTTTTGGAGATATTTGGTGTGTGCATGGCTTGAAACATGAATTGTTCTCTTGTCTCATGATGGAGGACGTTTTGTTCCACCTAATTTATGGACCATTTTGGTTAGTGAGGAGTGAGAAATTTTTGGGAGTTAGAGAGGTTGTGGGAAGAGGTGTGAGCTTTTGCCAAGTTTAATGTTTCTCTTTGTGCACTGGTGTTTCTATAAGCTAAAGATTTTTGGAACTACCTTCTTGGTCTTATTATATTTTATTGGGGCCCTTTCTTATTGCGTTTGATCAGGTTGGCTGGGTCTTCCTTGATGTGATCCCTAGAGAGAAAGGATCTGGTGCACAGTGGAGAAAATGGATTTGAGGTTGTATATCAAGTGCTAATTACTCAATCATCATCAAGGGGAGACCCCATGATAAAATAATTCCCACGAGGTTCAAGGCATGGTGATCCGCTCTCACCTTTCCTCTTTTATCATTGTGGCTGGTTTTCTAAGTAGGCTTTTATGCCATGGGGCAGCAATGGGTCTGATCTAGGTGAATGGAATAGGTCAATTCTATCTTCTCATGAACCACCTTCAATTTCTACACACTACTTTTCTTCTCTATGGATCCCATTGCAATTGTTTGATATTGTCACTATCCCTGAACGGGCAACTTGTCTAAACATAGATTATAGAAAAAACTGAAGTTTTGTGGGTCAATGTTGAAGATGCGGTTTTGGATGAATTAGCCATCACTTTTGGTTGCAAAAAGGGGTTGTGGCCTGCTTCATACTTGGATCTTCCTTTGGGAGTAATCCTAGAATTTCTCTTCTGGGAGCCCACATTAGAGAGAATTCGACAGAAGCTACACAATTGGCTGCATTCATATATATCTAGAGGATGGATACTCTCATTCAAGCAACTCTATCTAATATGATGCCTATTTATTACCTATCTTATTTGATGCCATAAAAATCGGTTCAAATCATGGAAAATATTTTAAGAGATTTTCTTTGGGAATGCACAGCATCAATTTGAGGAAAACTGTAAAATCCCTCGCATTAGGAAGTTTGGGAGTTGATAATATATCACAAAGGAATTCAGCTCTTCTTGCAAAATAGAATTAGCGCTTCCTTCATGAGTCCATTGTCCTGTGGTGTAAGGTAGCGAAAGTCAAATACTATTAGACACTTATGGAACCTATTTGGTCAGCTTCTCCTCATCTCAAATCTACCAAAGGTTATCTGGAAAGGTCTTTTTCCAAAAAGGACCATGGAACTTGTTCCTGGAGGAATTAACACAGGAGATAAGATCGGGAGAAGATTGCTTTTTCAATAACTTTCACCCCATTGGCATTTATGTGCACATCAAACTCAGAATCACAAGAAGCTGATTTGGGTCATCCTTTTAAGGAGTCCAAGAAGCTGATTTGGTATACTATCAATAGGGATTTTATGTGGATTTTTTGGCCAAAGAGAAATAATTGATTTTCAATGGGTTGGAGACTCAATTTATAGTGTTATGGATACCATCTTTTTTACTGCTTTTTAGTGGTGCAAATGTACATCAACATTTAAAGATCATTTCTGTTATCTGTAAATTTTAGTCTTGTAATTCTTGAAATCCACCTTTAATGGGATTAGTATTTCATTCAGAGTCTTGTGATCTATACTTTCTAGCTGGCAATCATTTTTGTGATCCACCATGGGTGGCTGGAAGTTTGCTTCTTTTGTTATTTCATTTGTCAATGAAATATTGTTTCTCATTAAAAAAAAAAAGAAAAAGAAAGAAAGAACACCAAACAGACAAAAACAATCTAACTTGATCCCCAAAACCATCAAGAATAGTAGAGTCACTTGCCTACAAAGTCCTTTTGTTTCTTTCATACCACAATCTTCACAAAAGTGCTACCACCGAATTCTACTACAAAATACTAGAATTTTCCCAAAAAAGGGCCTCATAAATAATCTAGCTGATAAAGAACGTCCAAGCACTTCTTAAGAAACACCCAGCTTATGTTAAAAGTTCTGAAAAGGTTGGATGGACCTGTGGGAGGAAGCAAACGGGGCAAAGAAATGTGGAAGAATTTCAATCCTTGAAAGGGAGGATGCCTGACTTTGGCTGATGCTGGTGCTTTCTAAACTCCCAACGTTATATATCTACATTTTTTATCCAAAGAAAGATAGTAGTAACCTGAAATAATTTTGATGGACTTCATTTGGGATGGAGGAAAAGAAATTAATAAAATAGCCATTAGTTAATTGGGATAGTCTTTTAGCTGTGGAAGAAGGTGATGCTGGAATTTTTAAGTTGAATGAAAATTACGGAACTTTGCCTGATAAATGGCACTGGAGATTTCCTTTGGAGAAAGGGGAACTGTAGAAGGATATAGTTTGTAGCATCTATGTAATGAACGGTTGTGGTTTCAATCTCTTTTGGAGGTTTTTTTTCTTCTTCTAGTATTAAAAAAGTCGCTTTGGTGGAGGAGTATGCTAATTGGAATCTTATGTTTTGAAAGAATTTATCACTATCAGGAAAGGGAGATAAGGTTTTTTGGAATCCAAGGAAGGTAAAAGATGTTAATATTTACATTGATTGGTAATGTTTCCAGTTAAATCTTTATTTTTGCATACCCAACGTGGAAGTTATTTCAAGAAAGTTTTGGCTTCAGCAATCTGGAGGGGAAGCTCCATAGAAAGTTTATGCTTTCTTTTGTCTGGCTTCAACTCGGTGTAAAGAATTCAAAATAGATGGTCTACTATAATATTTCTGCCAAGTTGTTCATTTATATAAATGTGAAATGGAGGATATAACAAATTAATATTATTTTACTAATCATTTTAGTCTTTCTACCTGCTTGGTGCAACTCATGGAACCATAAGCCTTTTCTTTACAGGACGTAGCCTCCTCTAATCCAATGAATGCATAAGAATCAAACCTAAAAATATGAGCCTAATTTTGAAGTGTGCCTCAAGGTGAAACCTCAAAAGTCTTGTAAAAATCGTTCTACTTACTACGTTTTTCACTTAGTTGAACGAATTTAAATATTATTTCAGATTATCATAGTAAGATAGGTATACTGGAAACATGCCTGATTTACTCTAATAAGGAGAGCAATACTTTGTGTATCTATCCTTATGTTAAGTTCTCTTGTCTGCATTTTTCTTGCCTTGTAATTATTAGTTTTTTGCTTCTTACATTATATTGATTCTTTCAGGTTTGACAGCAAGAGGTTTTGTAGAGATTGCAGAAGAAATGTGATCCGTGAGTTCAAGGAGCTGAAGGAGCTGAAGCGCATGAGGAGAGAGCCTTGCTGCACTAGTTGGTTTTGTGTTGCAGATATGGCTTTTCATTACGAGGTGCATCCTTGCACTTATATTCAACTTTAAGCGCTCTTCTACCATCATGGATTATAATTTTAACTTTAGGATGAATATGAATCGAGACATGATGACTGTGTAGACCCTGTGAGGTTTTTGAAGAACGCGTGCTTGTTGCAATTGGCATGAACGAAATTATATTTGCTATTGTCTCAGGTCTCAGATGATACAATCCAGGCCGATTGGCATCAAACCTTTGCTGACTCTGTGGAGACATATCATTATTTTGAGTGGGCTGTTGGATCAGGAGAAGGAAAATCTGACATTCTGGAATTTGAAAATGTTGGCATGAACGGAAGTGTCAAAATGAATGGCCTAGATCTTGGTGGTTTGAATTCATGTTTTATCACCCTCAGAGCTTGGAAATTAGATGGACGCTGCACAGAGCTGTCAGTGAAAGCTCATGCATTAAAAGGTCAACAATGTGTTCATCGAAGACTTATAGTTGGTGATGGATTTGTTACAATCACTAGAGGGGAAAATATTAGGAGGTTTTTTGAGCATGCTGAAGAGGCTGAGGAGGAGGAGGTTGTTCTCTTTCTTGTAATTGTCTCTCTAGGATTTTATGCCTGCTTAGAATTTTGCACGATATTCATATGCAATATTATATTTCGAACTTAAAATTCTTTGTGGGGTGACAAATATTTCCTTTTCTGTTGTGAAAAAAGAAAAAGTTTCCTCTTCTAAATCTTGGCAACTCTAATTGGTTCTCTGATTTTTTTGGCTTTTAGGAGGATGATTCGATGGATAAGGATGCAAATGATTTGGATGGAGATTGCTCTCGTCCTCAAAAGCATGCAAAGAGTCCAGAACTTGCTCGGGAGTTTCTTTTGGATGCTGCAACTGTCATCTTTAAAGAACAGGTATGTTGTTTTCAACCTTTTCGGCCTGTACTTTCTAGCTAATTTGCATTTGAGATATTGTTCTTTCTATAAGACAGATCTCATGTTCTTGTTGTAAGAAATTTCATTAAGCACCAGGGATATAATTACCAGATAGGCACATTGGTACAAGGAAAAACCAGCTAAAAGTTAAATGTCTGCATCTATAGAATCAGATGAAACGTTTTCCATTATTTTTAAATGAGATTCTTTATACGTGTGTGTGTGTGTGTGTGTGTGTGTGTATTCTTTCTTTTGTTTTTGTTTTTGGTTTTCCAAATCTTTTAGATTTTATTTAATGAGATGTAGAAAAGATGTCTAATTTGCAGTTAATTTCTTCCAAGACTTTCAGAAAATAGTGTAGATTATGTTAGGCGGTTCAAATAGTTTGTTTTTACTCGAGATAGAGTGGATTCAAGAAATGAGTCAGTGCAAGACACGGAGAATTGGAGAGAATTAGGGAGAAGAAAGATAGGAGAAATTCTCAAAACATTTAAACTAATTTCAACGTTGAACTTTGCTGTAGTATACTAGTAAGTCAATTAGTTTGTTGGGATTCTAAAAAATCCAACATCTTCGGATATTTAGCATCCAGAATGAAATATAAATGTTCAGCATCATTCTGTAGCTGTTTTTGAATTACACTAACATTTTTTATGTTTAGAGATATTTGGTTGTTGTATTCATTTGTAAGATTTATACATGGAAATGAGCATTCAACACTCCAGAGTTTAAATTTTGTATTCAACTACATTAAGTTTAAAGTATACTGATCTATTTATTTAGAAATTTAATTATATATCTATTACTTGAAGGCCATCAAGCAATCAATTGCGGGGTGTAGAACAATGGATAAGTGCAGTGGAGAGTTATTCTGTTGTTTCCTAAATGATTACATCTCTTATTTGAAAGAAATTTCTCTTGATCCCTCGGGTTCTTTTTCGACCGAATTTCTCTTGATCCCTTGGGCTTTTTTTCAACCAAATCCCCTCTTCTTTAGATTGAGAACTGAAGACCGGCCTTAATGTGGCTCTTTGTCGAAGTAAATTTGGGATTTCAAAATCCCCAAGAAGGTGAAGATCTTCCTTTTGTCATTGGCACATGGAAGTCTGAGTATGCACGAAAGTCTCTAAAGGAGGAGTTTTTCTCTTGTTGGTTTTTTGGTTTGTACCCTGTCCTGGTGCAGTGAGGAATTTGCAGACCGTCTTTTTCTGCTTTGCCCTTTCGCTATACGTGGTTGACTTAAGCTGCTGGATTTTTTTTTCTTCGTACCTTCTCTTCCCAATTAGGTGGATGGTTGGTTGTGGGAATCATTGGGTGGTTGGAAGCTGAAAGACAAAGCTGGGATCCTTTCGGGGTTTGCTTCTAGAGCTCTTTTGTGGAGTTTATGGCTGGAGAGTAATAGAAGGCCTTTTGAAGATAAGCCTTCGTCTTTTTGAGTTTTTTTGGGATTGTGTACAGTTTAATACCTCTTGGTGGTGTCATAGCTATAAAAACCTCTTTTATCATCTACCTCTATCCATGATTATTTCGGACTGGCTAGGTAATTGTAAGTAGTTCCTTGGGTGGGGGCTCCCTCATCCCCCAAGCCTTTAAGTTGTTGTCTCTGCCCTTTCGGTTGTACGTTACTCGAAGTTCTTATAAGAAAAAAGAAAAAAGAAAAGACCTTGTGAATTTTTGCTTGTTGGATTTGCCCATCTGCTTATTAAAATCTGATTGAAAGCTCAAAGTTCTTTTGTTTTTTTCTTCTCCTCACAGTCCAAGGAACTTCCCCAATGATAGTTTATTAAGATTGCATTGCAAAATTTGATACCAGAACTGATCCAAGTTTTCCCTAGGGAATTGTGGATTGTTTTTATTCTTATACTTTGTGGTCTTTGTCAGGTTGAAAAAGCATTCAGAGAAGGAACAGCTCGCCAAAATGCTCATAGCATTTTTGTTTGTCTAGCACTAAAATTATTGGAAGAACGAGTTCACATAGCATGCAAAGAAATCATTACTCTAGAAAAGCAGGTTTCAAGCGAGGCTATGTCATTACTCACATTCATTTACAAGAATCTAAATTTATCTTTACTGCTAACCTATGTGAATTTTGCTTCAGATGAAACTTCTTGAAGAAGAAGAGAAGGAAAAGCGTGAAGAAAAGGAACGCAAAGAGCGGAAAAGGACAAAAGAACGAGAGAAGAAGCTCCGAAGAAAAGAAAGATTAAAAGGGAAGGAAAAGGATAAAGATAAGATAAGTTCTGAATCAGCTGAAGTATGTTCTCATTCTGATATCTTAGAGGACTTATCCCCATGTGTTTTGGAGCAAAATTCCATCTCTGTCGATGAAACATGTGATGCCAGCATTCCTGAATCCTCTGATACTCTGGATGAGCAATTTTTAGATGAATCCATTATTTCAGAAGTGCAAAGTTCATATGATGATGGCCTTGCCGGGAAACCTACTGATGGGAATGATGGAAATGAATCTTTCATGGTTGATTCATCAAAGTTTTCTCGCTGGAGATTAAAATTCCCAAAGGAAGTTCAAGATCATTCTTTCAAGTGGTCTGAGAGGCGACGATTTTCAGTTTCCGAAAATGGGGCAGGAGCTAGCAGATCTGAGCAAAGATATTATGGTGATAGTTTGGAGAATCCTTCAAGAACCATGAATGGATCAAACAGGAAACTAAGAACGAATTCATTAAAGGCGTATGGTCGACACATCTCTAAGTTCAATGAAAAGTCGCACTCTTCCAACAACCGGGTATCTTACGACTACCGTTCCTGTGTCTGTAACCAAAATAATGAATTAAACAAAAAGGCAGAGGCATTTGTTTCTTCAGTTAGAGTTAATCGAGATGTCAAATCTGCGAGCACGTCAGAATCGTCATTTGATATGTCCAAGCAGTGTTCTCATTCTAACAGGTACAGCTATGGAGATCATTCTCGTGATGGTGGAAGATTGAAAAACAAAAACAATTCTCCTGGTAAAGATTACGTTTATTCAAAGAAAGTTTGGGAGCCCATGGAATCACAGAAGAAATATCCTAGAAGTAACTCAGATTCAAATGTAGCAATGAAGTCTTCAACTTGTAAGTTTAATGTTGAACCCGATTTTGACCTTGTGAAGTCGGGGCATGATGCCTGTAGTGGTGAAGTTGCTGTGACTTCGAGTACAGTTGATCAAGAAGAGAGTAATTCGACTGAGTCGACCTCTGGTGTTGAATCAGATGAAGTCTCCCAAAATGGACTCGAATGGAAGGATCATAAAAACATAGAAGAAGATGCATGCGAGGTAACAAAGCGTTCGGTAAATTCAACAGGCACGACATTGACATCGAGTGGGACTAATAACCGAGTAGGAACTAGGTCTTTAAATTCTGATAGCTGCTCATCATGCCCGAGTGAAGGAGACAGTAGTAATATCTGCTTGAACCATGGAAATCTGGAATCGTTGTCCACATCTGACTCCGAAGATGCTAGTCATCACTCAGAAGGAAAAGAATCTTCAGCATCCATTCAGAATGGCTTCTCTGAACATCATGAGACAAGGATGGATAAAGTAGTTGAAGTTGATGCCTTGGGGATCAGGAACCATTCCGGTCTTTTGCAAGAGATCGAGGGATGTAAAGTTCAAGTAAATGCACCGAACCGAGTTCCCCGGGACTTCGAAGCAGGATTCTCTGCTGTTAGTTTGGACTCCTCCCCATGTCAAGTGACACTTCCTCCAACTCAGAATCAAACTCAAAATATTCACTTTCCAGTGTTTCAGGTTTCTCCAGCGATGGGTTATTACCATCAAAACTCAGTTTCATGGCCTGCAGCAGCAGCTCATGCTAATGGGATAATACCTTTCTCCTATTCAAATCACTGTCTGTATACCAATCCTCTTGGGTATGGTTTAAGTGATAACCCACGCTTCTGTATGCAGTATAGCCATTTGCATCATCTAACTACTCCCGTCTTCAACCCGAGCCCGGTTCCTATTTATCAGCCAGCTTCCAAAGCCAACAATGGTGTATACACCGAAGAACGAAGTGAGGTCCCCAAGACAGGTTCAATGGTAGAAAGCTCAGATGTTGTAGCTAATCCCGACGTCATCGGTACCACTGGACTCCCATACGCAATCAGTTCACCACCAGGCAGAGATCGTAAGCAAAACGACACTTCCATATTGCCAAACGACAGCTCAAGCTTTTCATTGTTCCATTTTGGAGGGCCTGTTGCATTTTCAACAGGAGGTAACTTAAAGCCCATGCCTTCCAAGGAAGACGATATTGTTGGGGATTTTTCGAGAAATAACGAAGCAACGGATGTTGTTGACAATGTCCATGCTTTCAATAAGAAGGAAACTGCCATCGAAGAATACAACTTGTTTGCAGCAAGCAATGGCATGAGGTTCTCATTCTTCTGAATGGGAGCATGATGATATATGAGGGGACTGTTTTCGAGTTTCTAGTCCCTATCTTCATATTAATTTTTTTTTTTTTTAATGGAATTTTACAGTACTTCCTACATAATAAATTTTCTTTTCTTTTTTTTTCTTTTTTTTTTTAAAGTAGTTGATTGCTCCCAAAATTTGTCTCATTATTTTCGAGATGTGAGAACACACAAAAGAAAAAAAGAAAAAAAAGCAAAATTGGATGAAGGAGTGCTATGATGTTTGAAAGTTTTCTAAATGAGATGAGTCTTCTTGTAGATGAAGAATGTGTTTATATGAACATTTTGCTGCCCATATTTGCTTAGAATGGTACATAATTGGTTCACATTCCTGTCATCTTGACTTTGAACGGACTCAAAATCATGGATTGCGACTAATTTCTAGTTTCTTGATATGTTTTCGATCGATCTCTAGTTTCTTGATGTGTTTTCGATCGATCTTAGTATTAGGGATTCTTTTTCGGTTAACAGTGAAATCTTATTGCATCCGATATCTTCTTGATTGGGATTGTAGGGTTTCAAGTTACTTTCTTGATTGAGATTGTAGGGTTTCAAGTTACTTACATAGATAATGGGTAAATATTCATGTGAGATCTTTCGAATGATCTAAATGATTTTTATTGGTTCTTCGTAATTTACACTAGTTATTGATTCTTGTTACTTTGAAACCGAAACTATTATGATTTTAGCTTGATCAAAACTTTATTTTTGGTTAGAAATTCTTGTGGCTTGCATTTCCGACAAGCCCATTTCTTCATCTGCTTGGTAAGTATGAGCTATTTTGGAGGTCTGGGCTCGTTAACATACCCCTCTACGCTTGAGGTCCACATGTCTATACATAGTGGTGGACATGTCTACGGATAACGTGTTGAAGAAGTAATCTATGATCATATGATATACAATATGCATGAGGTCTACTAAGACGATGCACATAATACTTTCATACTTATCATGACGAAATTTTTTACGAGACGTATATACATATTTGTGATATTTCATTCACGCTCATCTATACATGGTATATCATAGTGTATCGCAATGCATAAACATGGCCATATCAACATATCAATAAAATTTAAACAAAAAAGAAAATGCATGGATCACATGATTGATTGAGATATCATGACATAAACAATTACACAAATAGGGTCATAGGGTACGTGTTATTCATGCATCAAATAATTTCATCTAACCTAGCTCTTAAGAGCTCCAACAATAAGTTCGCTTACAGTTTTCAAGCTCAACTTGTTGCTCCTAAGTTTGCTGTGGGCGGACATTCCTATGTTTAGCTTTACGTGATCTAATTTTACTAACGACATTTCATCTATTTAGAAAATTGAGCTTAGAGTGTAGCCGTAGAGCCAACATCTCTTAATTATCGTAAAATCAGTCATAAACCATGTCAAATATTTTTAATTGCCTAAAACACCAATCATACTAACATTTTCTAACATTAATTACACTAGAATATGGTCTCGACTTTAGCTTGAAAACAAGTTCTTATTCAAAGATCGACAATCAAGATTAGTTTTTACTTCTTCATTCTCAGTAACTCTTTGTGCATATTATGTATTGTTGTGTGTGTTTCGTACATCGTTTGGTGTTAAAAACTTTTTCAGTACCTTTACGTTCATTCCGACGTAGACTTAAACTTATTCTAAAATAATTCAAAATCATCTTTGATTATATGAAATTTTTAATAAATTAATTATAAACAAATCATTTTGTTAAAATTACAACCGAACATCCAAAAAAAAAGAGAGAAAAAAAAAAGTCTAACCTCCAATTCAATAAATATTATACCATATAAGTTTATCTTAAATTTAAGAAAAAAACAAATTATTTTCATTTTTTAGCCAAATATTCCATTTATTTTTACATTGTTGGTAATAAATTGAAGTTTTTAATAGCTTAATACATTTAATTATCATTTAATATTGTACTAATAATAATAATTAAAATGATTTGTTATATTAAGAAAAAAATAATAAAAAGACAAGAATTTATTATTTTTTATTCAGCTCATCATAGTCGGTGCCAGCTGACATGAGAGAAGAAATGTCCGACTACTTTCCTTCCCATTTATTTATATATATATACACACATATATATATATATATACTAGTTTATTACTATCGGAAGGGAGAGGATATCTGCTAGCGGTGGGCTTGGATTGTTACAAATGCCCCATCGGTTGGTTGGAGAGAGAAACGAAACATTCTTTATAAAGATATGGAAACCTCTTCCTAGCAAACGCGTTTTAAAAGTCTTGAGGGGAAGTCTAAAGAGGACGATATCTTTTAGCGGTAGACTTGGGCTCTTACATGACATGTACCCCCTTTTCCTGACCCATCAATACAAGGGAAACGAAAAATCAAAATTTACTTGTTCGGTATCAAATAATGCTACGAGCAAATAGAACACCCTTCAGAAGTATCAATATCGTTTCATGAATCGTAATTATTTGTTAATGGAATTATTTTATTTTATTTTCATTTACCAAATAGTATTATTTTTTTATTTGTTTTGGTAAAATATACTTTTCAAATCATTTTATGATTTGACAACATAGAAAAAACTTGGATTTAGATTCTTGTTTGTATTTTTTTAAAACAAAAATTTACAATAATGGTCGATTTTATATCATTTTACTTTTGGATCGAAAGAACAAACTCAAAATAAAATGATAAATTTTTAATCAATCGAGTCCAACAACAAAGAACCAGACCCTACAAAAGAAAGATACGTTTTCATTTGATTCTCAGTCGAGTCCAACAAAGAAACCAACCAAAAATTTCTCTCTCGTATACATCTATTTCTTCAATCTATAGAGAGTAAGTAGAGACGTTAGTTTAATCATATATTTTTGAAGTTTTTTTTAAAAATATTAGACAGTGTTAATGAAACCTTTAAAAATTTTAGACTATTTTTTAAATAATTTTGAAACTTTAAAAAAGTTCACCCGTGTTTTGAAACAAAATATTAACTATTTCGGTCTTAAATAAACGATAAGAGTATGTTTTTTATAATATTTTTTAATTTAAAAATTTTTTTAGAACAAAAAAAATTGTTTAAAAGAATTTATAATAATTTAGCCTAAAAAAATTTACCAAACATGTTAAATTATAAGAAATCCTCGTAGTTTAAAAAGATAAACGTTTCAAAACTATCATTAGTGTATAAATCTATTTTTCCAGATCATGCAGCTGCTCCACGAGCCTCCCTACATGTCATAAATGACCTACGAATATCTGTTCGACATAGAATTGATATCACGATAACTTGAAATGACATGACAATAACTAGAATAGTTACTTGAATTGAGTATGCAAGAACGACATTCGAACGTTTTAATAACTTTTCAGCTCTGATAATAATTTTCAAACATCTTTTAAGGATTAAATACAATATTACAACTTTCAAAAGAAAAAGAATATTTTTTTAACCGTGCCAATTTGAACTTAGCTCAACTTGCTAAAAATTGTACCATCAAGTTATAGGTTCGAATGGTACAATATTTATATAAATATATATATATATAGATCAAGTTATCTGACTCGACTCGTATATACGTATATTATCGTGGTTCTTAACAACACAACCCACACATCGTTACGTCATCCCAAGTTATGGAATACCGTCGGTCCTGGTTTGGGCACGGTTATCGAGAATTGACCCATGAGTTGACTTTATTATCGGGACATATTGGACATCCATCTATGCATATATTATCAAAGCATGAACAGTCTCGGGGGTATGGCTAGTCATTTAGGGATATAATTAATTAATTAAGTTATTTATTTATTAAAGAAAGCTATCTCCTCCCTCCCTCGTTTTGGGCAGCGGAGTTTTTTCTCCATCCCCACAAAAAAGAAAGGCAGAAAGCCGAAGAGAATGAGAGAGAGAGAGAGAGGGAGAGAGAAACCATTATAATGGCGGACCCGCAGCGGTGGTGAGAACAATTCCAACGATTCATCCATAAACAATCATTAATTACATAGCTTTTTGTTCAAATTCCAAATCCGAGAAGATACAGGCACAGCCAAGTTCCGGTTCTCGTGGGATGGAGGTTTGTTTTTTCTTTAATCCCTTTTTGAATTCCATTTCTGTTTTTTGTCTTTAATTTGCGTATCGATTTTTTCACTTTCGAGCCACTCCAGAATTTATTATTTGAATTGATCGTCTGTTTCTGCAATTGCGCTTGGAATTGTCAACTGGGGATATGTGTGGTTTTGTTTTATTTTCTAGATTTTCTTCTGTTGTTGTTGTTGGTTTTCGTGGTATTCTGTTTTTCTTTCTGGAGACTTGTAAATGGAGGTCTTGTTTTATTTCGTTCCTCAGGTTTCGTGCAATTCTTGTTTCGTTCTTGGATACTGATTTTCTAATGGTGAAATGGTTTATCAATTTGTAATTTGTTAAAGGGGAGGAACAGGTACTTGGATTTGCTCTGCCTGGCCTAATTTCTTTTCGATTTCAAGACTCTTTTGAGGACTTCTCGGTTGGTAAGTTGGTTTTAATCACATCACTTTGGAATTTGAGAGAAATTTGATCTGATTGGCGTATGATTCTCTAAATTGATGTTTGTTTGTTTTACTATGTTGGTCTGGATGGATTCAAATGAGCCAATGATTTCATTAGGTGATTTATCACTCTAATTGTCCGAGCATTTGATGTGAACTGCAATTTGTTGTATGTTTATGTTATTTTACTTTCCCTTTTCTATAGAAGATGATGCCATCATACATTTTTCCATTCATGCTTTATTACTTTTCCTTTCTATTTTTCATCCCAAAACGAAATGATAATGTTAAATCACTTTAGGATGTTTCTTTTTGTGTCCACGATTGGACGCCTTTATACTTGCTAAACTTTGATTTTAATGGGTATTGTATCGTTTTCTCTTGTTTATTTTTTCTTGGGGAGAAAATCACGAGGGGTCAAATTTTACATTTAACTCTTTTTCTTTTATTTTTAATGTACACACTTTCAATTTTAAAATTAAAGATGGAGAAAATTAGAGGGCTTTTTTAAATAATAATTTTTGTATATTATTTGAATTTAAGATTGGATCTTCCTTTGTCCTCGACTTTGCCTCTGGTTCTTTCATTATCCAGAAAAATAATGATTCAGGTGATGGTGGCAGTTTGGAAGGTAGAAAAATTGAATAGAAAAATGTTATCTACATTTGTTTGCGTGTCAGGAAAGTTTATAGAATAACTTAGTCCCCAGAGATGATTAATATTTCGATTTATAATAATATTGCG